ATTGATGATACTAATAATGGGAAAAACATGGAATTGGAAACTATTAGAGAATGTTAATGCTAAAATGATTGAATGACTTAGAATAGGAGGAAGCATAATAATAATGTATTATACAAAGATATCTTGATTGTCAATATGTGAATTTTGATAAAATTCAAGTGAGGACTATTGAAAGGACACAGAAAGACTTTGTAGCCAATCGACACACTGTGTGTAATTGAAGAGGCTTTTATGTTATATGTGTTGTGTGTTTGTGTTTGTCTGAAAATAAAACATTTATATAAAAAAGCAGCATTTTTAATAGCTTTAATCTTCAATTGACCCAGTAAAAATGGTACAAAAGAGTGTGCAAATCTAGAACTCTTTGAACTCTTTATAATTTCTGCAGTGGCAGACTGCAGAAATAAAGGAACTGAGCAAATGCTTCGGTGCCGTATAATTTAATAAAGTTTAATTTAATTATCTAAGTTTCATTACATGACAATTCACTGAATTTTGTTACACCACAATCTATCCAACTCATCTCTAATTCACTCTAGGACCACTGTTCCCTTCTCTTGCATTGTGCTTGCAGCCTGTGATGGAATGTAGTGGGCCACATCCCTAGGGAGGAGGGGGTGCATTCCAGAGGAATAAGACACAGCTCAGTTCAGATAGTTTGTGTAAGAGAAAAAGGGTATTAGCTATTACTATTAGCCTCTTCCTAATAGTTTTCAGAATATATGTGTGATGTAGATAGTAGGATACTTCAGTTTGGCAAGATTCTGTGTATAGGTGTGGAACAATAAAGAAAACTGCTTGGAAGAAACACTACATAACTTTCTTGGTTTTAAGGCCTGACACAGCCCTTAATTTCCACTAGAACAGCATCAGGGTCTCTTCTTATTGGACCATAATGAGGGGTGGGCTGCTCCGAGTTCGCCCAGGTTCGGGAAATCCTCTAGCAAAGATCCTGTGCAGTTCGGTGAATCCCCAAAATCCACTCCTGGCTGGCTCCACCCCGCCCCTCCCACCCTGCCCCACCCCTCCCAGAAATCTCCATGCGGCCCATTTTGGATGCCAGGTAAGTGCAGGGGCCATGCGGAGGTTTGGGGAGGACAAGAAACGGGCCTCCTGGAGGCTCCGGAAGGCTAGAAATGGGCCCATTTCTGGCCTCCAGAGCCTGGGGGAAGCAGTTTTTGTTCTACAGGAGGCTCAAGAAAAGCCTCTGGAGCCAGGGGGAGGGCAAAAAAGTCCCCTCCCCTGATGCAGGAGGCCGACTAGGCCACGCCCACCCAGCAACCAGGCAGAGAACCCATTGCTAAAATTTTTGAAGCCCCCCCTTGACCATAACTCACACCAGATGAGCATGCAACTCACCAGGAAGGGCTTTGTTAAAAACTGCAATTACCATTGCTTTCTCCATTCTTCAAACTGAGAAGAACAGGACAGAGTAGACCAAATATATTTATATTTTGAACCAAGTAATATGTGTACAGGTATTAACCATGGCTTGGAAGAAGCATCATAAAGAGTCCTGCATTTGTTCCTCAGTTTGTTGTGTACACAAAATGCACAATTATTAAAAGCAAGGGTGACTTTCTCACCATTTTATATACTTCAAATCATAGTGTGAGCAAAGAAAATTTAAAAAGAATGAAAAGGTATGCATTGCATTAAAAATGCCCCTAAAATTTCAGGCAAGAACTATCACTTTCCCCACTTCTTAGAAGTAGGGATTGCAGCCTCCATACCTGCTGCTTGTTGTTTTTTTCTGTGATCCCGATCGAGTCCTGCTGCGTCCAGCTCTCTTCTCCCGAGATCGGGATCGGGATTTTGATGGAGACCGGCTGGAGCTCCAGGAACTGCTTCGAGATAGACTCCTCCTTCGTTCAGAGTTGTGTCTGGAGTGTTTGGCTGAAGTCGGAGAACAACTATGTGGTCTTCCCCGGTGGTGCCTCTCTTTTGCCCTAAAAGATGCAGTGGATTAAAATTTAAATGGCCTCAAGATCAGAGCCGTACAAAGATATGGACACAAAGTATGTTACCTTTCAAGGACCTAGGAAAAGCCTTCTGGATTAGAATACAGATCTATCTAATACAGCTCCCACTTCCTGTAGTTGCCAGAGAAGTTCTCCTGACTTGCACCCTCAGCTGTTTATACGTTTTCACTTATTGAATCTGGAAGTTCAATTTTGTTATGGTCAAAAGGAGCTGATAACCTAATATAGTTATTCATTACATTACTCCAGTGCATTACTCTTGCATATTTTCTCAGATGCTGTATGTGTCAGCAAAAAAAGAGATTGCTATTTAGATCTATCTGTCCTAATCTGATGGTTTCATATATATGTTGGGATGCTAACATCCCAAGATTTTCAATAGAAAATGTTGGTTGTTGGAATCTCAACACAATCTGGAAAGTACCAATTTTGAAAATTTGCATTAGATTTGTTTTAGAAGAGATGCAAACCCAAATACAGATATCTTATTATCTGTACATGCCATTTGCTTCACTCATACTAAGTGCTTTCCAAAGAACTGATATGAATTCTACTAATTTTGTGAACAGAATGAGACATCTTATTTAAATAAATCCTTAGGGTATTTATATGGTCATTAGAATGATCACCTAATGGCCGTGAATAATACTGTAGTATTTTCCTTTCCCATGAAAAGCAAAGCCAGTTGTGGCATTCTCTACCAATCTCTTCCATAGAAAGACATGGGTTACCATGTCAGAAACAGCTATGGAAAGAAGGTGGGCAATAGGACCTGTGAACAGCTACTTCCTCTTTTGATTCTGCCTGTTTCCTTGATTTAAAGATTATTTGAGTCTGGTCAATGACCAAAGTAAAGCACATGGTTTTGAATAGGCACCCTTTAGATGGCTATAAAGACTTGGGAAAAATTAATGGAAAAGAGTCTTGCAGAAATCCTTTATGATGTTGCAGTGTTCTTAGGATGTAACTGTCTGTAGAATATACTGTAAACTATTGGTCATACAACCAGACAGATGCTTAGACTGGATTTGTCCACCTACTGAGTCCTTCCAAGGACCTGAGATAAGCAGATATTTGATGGTGTTGAAAATATTCTTGAAGGAGGTATGCTTATTATTAATAATAATAATATTAATATTGATCATCACACAGTCAGATGTTCAGAATGGGTTTGGCATTTTTGTCTACCTATTGAGTCCTTACCAAGGACCTGGGATAGGCAGATCTGGATGTTTGATGGTGTTATAGGTATTGTCACAGGATAGAAGCTGTTCCCAGCTTTTGCAAATGACTGATGGCAAATTTGTCAATGCCAATGGTACTCAAGTGGTGCTCCAATTGTTTTGAGATTCCACCCAAGATGTCTATTACTATTGGTACTACCCTTGTTTGCCTTTGCCACAGTCATTCTATTTCTATTTGTAGGTCTTTGTATTTTGTTATCTTCTCCAGTTCTTTCATGTCTAGTCTATATGTTGTTATTATTATTATTGTTATTATTATTTAAGCTTTAATGTTCAATTTGATTCTGGGACTGGTAAATAACCAGACTCCTAAACAAGGAACTAAGAGTTGTTTATTATTATTATTATTATGTGGTTAATCTTTGGTGAGATTCACAGCCTTTGGGGCTGGTTGGTAGCTCAACAGCTCGAGTTCTAACCAAGGACCTAGGAACTGTTAAGGTAATGTCGGAGGATATAAGCTGTTCCAAGTAGGGTGTTTTTTTGTAGAATCAGAATGTTGTTTATTATTATACAATTCTATTATTATTATTATTATTATTATTATTATTATTATTATTATTATTATTATTATTATTATTATT